GTCTTGGACACATCTCAAGGGCTTGTGGATCACACTTTGAGAACTGCTCATTTTAGAGATATTGAGCAAGAAAGATGAGAGAGGATTCTGAGACAACCATCAGAGCTGCAAATGGAGATTAAGCACGTGCTGAAAACAGAGATCAAGTTTTCACTCCAAGCAGTGAGATGGCAGGCTCACTCCCTCTACGTGGGTTGAGCATGGGGCAGCCAGGCCGACACACCCGTCTGGGAGATAATTGGAAAATTCTTCTCCAGGGAAACGACCATCAGATATGGTCATTGAGGGGATCTCTAACAAAATAGCCAGATCTCTGCTTAGCCAGCCACTGAGAGCAAGATAAGTAGACAAGTTCCACCCAACTACCAGCGGACTTTTAGTGCCTTATTTCTGAATATGAATGACATCAAAAGATAACCAGACACAGGAAGAAAAATGTTAAGATGAAACCAGAAATGAAAACAAGCAAACCAAAAAGAACTGTGTGAAGAGAATAATGCAAGTAGAAAAGTAAAAATATTTATTTATCGTAATAACTTGAAAGATTTAAGAGAATATATTGCAGAAGAACGAGAAACAATATAACTTCTGTTATTTGCTTTTATTACTCAATATCATATCCCTAAAGTTCACCCACGTGGTGCATATTCACTCATTTACACATCTATATAGCATTCTGTTATGTGCATATACCCAAATTTATCTATAATTGTCCTGTTAATAGACATTTGAGTTATTTCCAGTTCTTTGTTTTTAAAAATAATTATCCTATGAATATTGGACATTCTCGTACCTATGTGGACTCATTTATTTGGGGATTGGTACTGCTGGGTACTATATTTTACAAAATAATACCAAATTGCTCTACAAACTTTACAAATTTATTCTCTCATTAGTAGAATTCTAATTGTTCCATATTTCTGTCAACTACCAGTGTTGTCAGACTTTTTCATTTTTCCAAATCTAGTGAATATAAAATGGTATCTCATGGTTATAATTTGTATTTTATCTGATTACTAATACAGTTGAACATATTTTATATGCTTATTATCTGTCTTAGCATAAAGATGGATATTTTAAACATAAAACAGAGATATAAACAAGATAAATTTGTTCCCCTTTCATGTAAGAAACAGAGTCTAAGCAATCTGGTTTCATTGTACAGCTCTGTGGCATCAAGGACCCAGAACCCTTTGATCTGGTTGTTGCGCATCCTTGACAAGTGCTTTCCATCTCATGGACTGTTTCAGCTCTTACCACAAGGTAAATTTTCTTGAAGATTGCCCATAATACAGACCCTGAAATCTCCCTTCACAGTGATGGTGTATTCTAGCACCACCCTCCTCTACTAATTTTTGTTTTCAAAGTAGAATTGTGTGGGAGACAGGACGTGGTTCAGAGCGTGGGGAATGTGGTACTGTGAGATGCAACTGTCCTGCAGATTCAAGTGTCCCATTAGAAACTGACCACTGCAATAATACCGCATTACAGTATGATGCACATACAAGTTTAGAGTGGAGAAAAAGGAGTATTCCAAATAAGCAGAGTCAGAAAACTGCCAGGTTTCTAAAGGAGCTCAGAAGGCCCAAACACAAAGCACTCCAACTCCAGCAGTTCCTAGTAAAGTCTTCCCAAGCTCACCTAACCTCAGCTAACCATGCCAATCTTCCCCTTTCAGGAGGGAACTTCAAGGTAGAAGAAAGATGTTGCCTGGGAATTTTGGAATGGGAAAAAACATGAGCTTTGGACTTAGACAGAGTTGCATTGAAATTCTGGCTACCTTGAATCTTGGGCAAATGGCTTTATCTGTCTGAGCCTCAGTTTCCTCATCTGTCTAATGCCAAGAGCAATAGTACCCACCTCTCAGATTGTTGTGGTGAAAATTAAATGATATGTTGGGTAATGCCTGTGAAGAAAGCAGTGTGGAAGCCTGATGAAGCTCTTGCCTGGTGTCTTAGTCTGTTTTCTGTTGCTGAAACTGAGTAATTAGGAAAGAAAAGAAATTTATTTATTTATTATAGTTCTGAAGGCTGGGAAGTCCAAGGTTGAGGGGCCACAACTGCTGAGGGTCTTCTTGCTCATGGGGACTCCCTGAAGAGTCCCAAGGCTGCACAAGGCATCAGACAGTGAGGGGCTGAGCATACCAGCTCAGGTCTGTCATCTGCTTATAAAGTCACCAGTTCACTCCCATGATAACCCATTAATCCATTAACCCATTAATCCATTAATTCATGAACGGATTAATGTATTAACCCAATCATCTCTTAAAAGCCCCACCTCTCAATACTGCCACACTGGGCAGTATTTTCAACATGAATTTTAGAGGGAACATTAAAACCATAGCACCTGGGTTCTATTCCCAGCTTTGCTATTTTCTAGCCATTTGATCTTGGGCAAACTAAGTCTTAATCTATAACTCAGTTGCCCTGTTTGTAACACTAGGGTAATAATAGTCCCCATCTCACAAAGTTGCTATGAGAAGTAAATGAGGTAATATGTGTAGATCTTTTAGCGGAGTGTCTGGTACATATTAAGTGCTTAGCAAATAATAGCTAATACTAGTTTTTTAAAAAATAAAAGTTAAAGCATAAATTACAACCCGGGAAAATATTTGAAAAAGTATAAAATACAAAAAGTCTGTATTCATAATATAGGAAGAACTTCTATAAACCTAATATATAAAGAAAATCTAAGAGAGAAAAAATAGGCAAAAGATATAAAAAAGCATTTCATAAAATAAGTATAAGTGACTGATAAGGATGAAAATGCCCACCATACTAGTAATATAATAAATGCAACTTAAAACAACAATGATGTGCCATGTATTACCCATCAGACTTGAAAATTTTTTCATATCTGTGAGAGCTCAATGGCACTCATATACTATTAGTGAGAATATAAATTAGAAAAAAATCTCTTTGGAGAACAACTGTTAGTATCTTTCAAAATTTTAAATGCGTGCTGTGAGACAGAACAACCACATATCCCAAGGATCATATACTTTCCACATTTTCTCATCCCATAAAGGACTAATGATCCTTCTAAGACAAGTGTCTCCACTCTGTCTCCAAGATCTCACTTGTGGTCTGCACCTCAAATTCTCTGACTCCTCTCCAAAAACTATCATGGGATCATTCATCTTCTTTAAATTAATAAACAGATATTTCTGCTTAGTAGTGGAACTTAATCTATTTTTCATGTGAAAATCTAAATCAGGAGTTGGCACATTTTTGCTGTAAAAAGCCAGACAGTAAATATTTCAGGTTCTAAGAGCGATAAGGTCTCTGTTTCAACTACTTGACTCTACTGTTTTAGTACAAAAGCCACTGTAGAAAATAAATTAATGAATGAGCATGACTGTGTTCCAAAAAACTTTATTTATGAACTCTGAAATTGTTCCCTATAATTTCCATGTGTCACAAAATATTATTTTTCTTTTGTTTTTTGGCTATTAAAAAATGTAAAAGGCATTCTTAGCTGGCAGGCCGTGCAAAAACAGGTGGTGAGCTAGATTTAGCCACCCGGCTGTAGTTTGTCCACCCCTAATCTAACGGATAGAACTCCTGCTTCTTGCAGATTAGACAAGTGGGGTGTAGAATGATTCTTTGTTCTCAATTCTAGATGGCAACAGAAAAATCCTCAACTAAATTTCTAACAGTTTTCTCAGTATTGTAATATGTATACATTACAATAAATATAACGTTTTCTTTTTATGGTTTGGGGAAACAGCTGGCATCCCTTAGAGGTTAACACAATTCTAACAGCTTTATAAATATCAAAAGTATCAAAATAATACAAACTTGCAAACATTTCAAACAGTACAGAAATGAATGAAACAAATATGAAAATGAGAGTAAATTAATGTCTTCCATTAGAACTGGTGATTTTATGTTTTATCAGGATTATTTCCATCATATTAGAAGAGGTAGATACCAATGTGTCAGAATTGTCTTCTCCCATCTGCACATGCACAGAAGAATGTCTGGAAGGATGCATGCAAAACCTTATACCAAATGTTTTAGGATGTGGGAGGAGGAGTGACGAGTAGGGCTTTCACCTTATACCTTATATATGTTTGAACTTATTACAACGTGCATGTATTACTGCAGTAATTTTTTTAATCCAATAAACATTTATTTTAATGATTTACCCAGAGTTGTCAAGAGCACGGTAGGATGTAAATTAGTTTCACCATTTGAGAGGGCACTTAGATGCTGTGTATCAAAAGCCATAAAAAACACAAGCCCATTGACTTAGCAAATCAGGATTCCCCCCCCCCAAGGAAATAATTATAGTCGTGGGGGGAGAAAATAGCCATGAGGATAATCATAGCATAGTTTATAATAATGAGAAGTTGGTGTATTGCGGGGGAGGGGCAGCCTAAATGTGCAAGAATAAAGGGTTGGTAAAATAAATTACGAAGTATGTCTAGAATAAAATAAAAGGCATTCAACAGAAATAAATGGGGGGGAAAAGGCCATGAGCCAGTTGGAGACTTTATGTGCTAATTTTTACACAGCAAACCTGTAACTTTCAGTAGACTGAAAAGGTCTTGTGATGATCTAGGTGCTGTGGAATAAACTATCAAATATTTAGTAACAGTGTATTTAATAATGGTCCACAAACACCTTAGTTGTAACAGGTATAGAGTGCTGGTGATTTTATGGTACAGCTTTGATGTCCACATAACTGACTGTTCCACTAATGTCAAAGTGCCCCCTGCTTTGGCGTGGCTTCAGCAGACCGCGGGCTCCAGAGGACCAAGTGCAGCTTTGCAGGGACTTGTCCCATCAGCACTTCTGCTGGCAGCAGCACCATCACCTGAGCTCTGCAGGGGCAGATGTGCTCTCGGTGCAGACACCAGCGCCCCGGACATCCGGCATCCGAATCCTGCACGCAGCAGACCTCAGCAGGCATCACCCGAGGCGGTGCCTGCAAGGGCTGCAGGAGAGAGTCACAAAGAGCGTCAATAGAGAAAACCCACAGTGACTTATAGGACTATGTTCATGCGTCCACGTGCATCATCTCCTGCAGAATCTTCCAAATACCCTGGGTACTCGGGAAAGGGGCTAGAGTTGTCATCCCAGAAGGTATGCGCAGAACTCGAGAAATACCACGTGCAACTGTTGTGATGCTAGATTTTTCCCAGCCTTGTACGGCTGGGGACACACTGGTTCTATATCTGCGTCATGGTCGCTAGATACCAAGGGTATCCTCAATCTTCAGCTTGTTCAGACAAGTTCTTTCCTAAAACGGGCTACTTGGAGTCCCAGTTGTCACCCATCCTTCTTACATTTCCTGCCCACGTCCAGATGACCTAAGTGGCATTTGGTGTCGCTGAGGTCACTGAAAAGATTTCTAAATAAGCTATTTTAAAAGTTACTGACATCATCAGCTTAGAGCTGTTATTCCTGGGTCAGCACAACCTCCTCCCAGCGGCAGGGCCTGGTCGCCGCCGGTTCCCTCCTGACAGCGCAGGAAGCAGGGCTGGGCGTGGTACCCGAGCGAGCGCCCAGAGATCTCACGCGCTCTAGCAGCCGACCTCCCCCAGCACATGGGAAAATCTCATCCCAGAGGCACTTAAACCACATGAAACACTAGATTACAATTTAGTTCTAAAGTTTAGAAATGATATGTATATGTGTTATTTCATTCTGATTAAAGTAGACTTCCGTTTCTTCAAAAGATATTTTAGTCTCATTGGTAGGTAAAAAGTTAATATCTAGGTTTATTTAAATATCTACCGAATCACTTTGGGAAGGAAACTGGACTGGATAACATGTAAATTCTGGTCAGCCACCTAGATTCTGTAATTCTGTAAAATATATACGAGTCACTCACGTTTTGTTTATTTTTTAGTAGTTTGATCTCTTTCAAGTCCGTAGTTTCTAGGATATTAAGAGCCATAACAAAAAAGGAATAATTCACCTCTTCATATCCTTCTTAAATGTCCTTCTTAGATGCATCTAAGCAGGTGTTAATCTTCTAAATGCTGCCAATCTTTTAAAAAATGGTATGCTTCTTAACATCTTGATCAACATGAATCCATATAATAATAACAGCTAATATTTATTGAAAGCTTACTATGTGTTGCCATTATGCTAAATCCTTCACTTATTTTTAATCTCATCATCTCAATTTAATGAGGCAGCTTGGAGAGAGAGGTTAAATAACTTGCCTGAGGCAACTCACTTCATCAGGATAACAGTTGAGACTTGATCCAGGTTCGCCTCACTCCACAGACTGCACTCTCCAAACAGTACCTGGCACACAGCATCTCAAGGCTGTGTTGCTGGCAGCCAAGAGAAATCAATCATTGTATACTGTTATCATTATATACCATGAGTTGGTTATCTGCCTTGTTTACTGGGAGAGCAGCAAACTGGCATTCAAGCCTTGGGCATACATAACTGGCATCGTGTAAAAAGACAGGTGGGGAATTAGGGCAGTACATTTTCTGTTTCAAGATGAGTCATACATACCTTGACCTGGAAACTGTTTGCATTCGCGGCAAGCAGCTGCTGAACCGCTGATGAGACCAAAAAGATTTGCAGGCTGTTTTCCCTGCCCTTTTTCCATCTGCAGAGTAAACTTAGTGCTAGACTCTGTCCATTGTGTCTTACTAGTTGAATTGCCAGTCTGAAACCTGGAACTACTGCTGGTGACAGGACAAAACACCCATAAGGCAGGCTGCATCCCCAGCATCTAGAACAGCACCTGGCCCATATAAGGAACTCTATAAATAATGTTTAGGTGACAAATGAATGGATGAATGAATATATTGTTATATAAAAAAGAGCAAGGTGCAGAGTGGTAACAATGCATGTTACCATTTCTCTTTCTCCCTCTCATTCCCCACGCCATGCAATCCCTTCCTCACCGATATTCTGCCCTGCAAATTCTACCAGTATCCCCTTACTCTGGTCTCTGCCTCCTCAACTCAGTGAGTTGGTGAGGCTCTGTTTCAGTTCTCCTTCCTGCCCCATGGTCTGGAAACAGCCTTAGAGAGTAGGCTGGGACAACCACAGGGCTTGCCTTATCGGTTTCCCTCCTCTCAGGTTTTACAGTCCTAGGGTGTCTGTTGCCCACTGTCTAAAAACTGTTGTTACATATATTTTGTTGGATCTTCTAGTTGTTTATTACAGAAGGGAAATTCTTGCAGCAGTTAAACCCTCATGGGAAGAAGTGCAAGTCAATAGTTTTATCCTTCATAACTTCTCCAGAGTGATAAAGAGTATCTCCAAGGTCAATTTAAATGGTATTGCAGTCCTGTTAAACACACACACACACACACACACACACAATTCTTATCTTTTACAGAGTCTTTGAAATATTTGTGGACTAAGTAATATATCTTCTGTGATCTGCTTCAAAAATTTGGGCAAGCATGAAATTGCATGGGGTGTTGGCCGTGAATTGAGAATTTTAAAAGTTGGGTGATACATACAGCCTACTTTTTCATGGTTGAAATTTTCCATGATAAAAAGTTTTCTTAAATCAATGCATAGGTATCTCTATGTTTAATGCCCACTCAATGACTTCTACTGTGTCAACTTAGGAATGGATGATCTGAGAGCAGGTGTTGATCGGTAGAAAGGGGTGAACATGGGGGTGTGAGGTGTAAAAATGAAACTAAAGGAAGGAAACTGAAAAGCTCAGGCAGTCTTTAACTGCTATAACTTATCACTCAGATCACTGATAAACCCAGAGATCCAGAGCCCGGTGGTGTGCCAGGCTGACAATAGGTTCTCCATTACTGTGTGGCTGAGAAGTGGCAGGAGCTCTACCTAACACTGCACTGTCACTGCCACCATGACTGTCTGGTCCTTATTTTTAGACAGTGAGATTTCACAAATTGCAAAACCAATCTGTCCTGTCACAAACTCCTTCTAAAATGAACCTGGATCACTATGGTAACAGCAAAGGCAGGCAGTCAGGAGGGACTCATACTTTTTCACAGCTACAAAAAAGCAGGTAAAAAGCAAATGTCAGAGAAAGCATCCTACCCATCCCTTAGGATCCAGCCCAGAGCTCTCCTCAGCAAATGCCCTTGAGAATGCAAATTCTATCTCCCCTCAACTCCCCTTGCCTCCTCCATAAAGCTATGTTTATAGAACACCTAGTCTGTGTATTCAAGAGAGGTATCAGCATCTCCATTTTGCAGAAGGGTAAACTGAAGCAAAAAGAGGCTAAGAACCTCTCTAAAGTCTAATAAGTGCCAAAACTGGAATTGAAACCCAGGTCTACTGAGTGCCAAGGCCCATGAGTTCTCATCTCTTTAGCATTCGCAAGTGCTCATTCAGAAGTTATCCGTGGAAACCCGTATGTCACCACTAATAAAAAAAACACAATGCACAACATAATAAAGGCAAAGGTGAACATAAAAATAAATTGTAAGCATTTAAAGGTCCAGAGTGTTTTGAGATCTCATATTTAATTCCTCTCCTCTCCCAAATTTCTGTCAAATGAGAACATAGTATTAGGGTATAAGAAGGGGGAGATCTCTTTCCATTGCGGGAAATTGAGAAGAGATACACAAACAAAGAGCTGCATTTCAGGATGGGTCAAACAAGCAATATTCTGGGACATCAATCGATATATTGATCTAAATATCATTGGGATAAATAAAAATTATACAGTTCAGTTCGGGTTTCCTCACAAACTCCTCAAAGAAGCAGTAGAATATCAATCAGTCACACTCATGTTCAATGCCTATAATAAATCCTTTATTTAAAAAGCTTAAAATATGGTAGAGAAAAAGTTTATTTATCATCACATACTGGTTTCTAAGGAAAATGTTTTTGCCTGTTATTAGAACAAGCTGAACATAAATTTTTTATCTTCAGTGTAGTTGCCTTACGGATCAAAATAACAAAACACTTTTTCTTTTCTTACACAGTCAACACAGCACATTTCACTCTGGTCACCAAAATGGGGGGGGGGGTTGTCCCCACACACCCAGCAGTTCTCCAATAGACACCAGCTGGGTGTCCTATCATTTAATTCAATTCTGATGCCATCTACCTGGAGTTAGAGTCAGATCCCACAGGTTGAGGGCTCAGTCCCACAAGGCTGCACCCCACTTCCAATGACAACCACAAGTCTAATTGCCTACAACTTCTGTCCAACTTGGCTACAAACTGAAGGTACCCACTACCCCTTGCCTAGGTTCAATTAATTTCCTAAAATGGCTCACAGAATTCAGGGAAACACTTAGCACTTACTGATTTATTATATAGGAAGTTACAAAGGATACAGATAACAGCCATATGGGAGAGTTTCATATGGCAAAGCATGTGGGAAGGGACGCAGAAACTCCCTAGCTTCCCTGGGCACAACACCCTCTAGGCACCTCCACATGTTCAGCAACTTGGAAGCTCTCTGGACACCGTAGTTCAGGGATTTTTATGGATGCTTTGTCACATAGGCATGATCAATTCTCTAGCCCCCTCCTCCCCTTCCTGGAAAGTGGAGAATGGGGCTGAAAGTTCAAAGCTTCTAATCATGGCTTGGCCATCCATCCAGGAACCCACCAAGAATCACCTCATTAAAATAAAAAATGTTCCTGTCACCCAGGAAATTCCAAGGGACTTAGGAGCTGCGTGTCAGATGCTCTTATTACTCTAGAACTTACAAAAGTCTTAGGAGTTCTGTGCCAGGAACCGGGATGAAGACCAAAATTTACATTTCTTATTGTAAGTCATAACATCACACCTTGTCATGTTTGAAGACAGAAATCAGTGGTGCTGTGGAAGGAAAACTATGGCCAGGAGGCTGCTGCTGCTACAAGACATTCACCACTAACCACCACTGTGGCTGAAGAATTTTGACTATATTTTAGTCTTTGCATTATTTTTTCAAGATTCGAAGTCCTGAAAAAGACCCATGCCTCAAATCTTATACAAAAATTAGCTCAAAATGGATAAGAGCTCTAAATATAAAACCTGCAACTAGAAAACTTTCAGAAGAAAAAAATAAGAAAAAAAATTCTTAGATCAACAACAAATTCAGGATCAAAAAGAAAAATAATTGATGAACTGGAATTCTTCAAAATTAACAATTCCTGCTCCTTGAAAGACATGATCAAGAA